ATAGTCATTCCTGAACTCTAGACTATACTAGATTATATATATATTTTCTGTCATGTTATTCGTTTCCAAATATGCGTATGTGTATATAAATGCATACAAAAGTATAATGTATATATTGTTGAGTAAAGATAAATAGTATATTGTGTATATTGTAAGGGGTTAGAAGCTGCAAGTTGTTCTAAAATAATTAACAATTAAGTAATTAACATAAACATAAATTCAAGCCACTGCCAGTCATAGGCGTACAAGACAGGGGGAAGGGGGTGGCAGCTGCCCACCGATCGCAGACCTGTTTCGCGATGGTGTTCACCCCTCCTCCCCCCTGGCATCCTCCAAAATGAATTTCATATTTGCAGTCTTGCATGCCATGTGTCATTGAACAACAAATGATCGATGACCGCGATCAAATACATAATATGCAAGTTTTTTCACAAACACAAATTCAGATTGCGTCCTCATTTTGCTTTTCATCACGGATTCAAGGCTGACCCCCTCCCCCTATCGCAGAACATGTCCGCAATTGGTGGACGAAATCTATTTGTCAACAGCCTCGAACCGAAACATTCCTACCAGAGGTCCTTGTGCTGTATTTTTCGCAGTCATTCCTGGTTAGGTCTTAAAATGTATATATTCTCACTTGGATTACAAACCCTAACATTCTAATATTAATTCCACCAAGTGAAGTGCAAGAATCCAAAATCACTGAAGTCTAACCGGAACAGCCTGTCTAAAAACCAGGCCATCCTGACCAACCGAGCACATATAAAGTAAACAACCCCTAACTCACCAAATGCTCTCGGATAATCCGCGTTTCAGGAAGGAATCTGATTGGCCGTTGATATCATGGAATGCGCAGTTTGGTCTTAGCCAGGATTCCTGGCTTCCGGCAACGGATTATCCAGAGCCTCACGTTCCTTCCCGAGGATCGCAGGCTCGGGGAACGAGATTGGCGGAAAGCATGAAAACGCCAACCCAAGCGAAGGGAAAATGCCCTGGGAACGAGGTTGTGAAAACGCAAAGCATCTCGACTAATTAGAAGGTCCTTGTAGAACAGTGAACTGTAATAACACTTTGAGTTCTCACAGAGTTCACTGCATGGTCTTGGATCTACCTGGAACTGACTGACGGCTGACGTGAATTTCAGCTATGCAATTTGCTGAGGTTTCACTTTTCAGCGTAAGGGATTTTTCCATTGTCATTGATATGATTTTCGCCATGTTCTTAGCAAGCGCCCAAAAGAGAGGTTTCTCCCTGAAAACATATTGAAATGTAATGTTCCAGGGGGGGGGGGGTGATCGTGAATCGGAACCAGATTGTTTTCATCGTTCCAAAGTTATTGCGGTTTCATCAGATGAAAATCACCCGTCTCTTTTCACTGATTCGAATCTGAAAATGAAATCATGAATCTGAAAACGAAATGGTTTTAATGTTGTTGTTGTTGAGATTTAGTGAATGACAATTGACAAACTCGCTTCTCAAGAAGACCCCTGGGTTCACAAATTATCACCACAGTTTTTGTCTTGCATGACAAACTTTTCTTTGTTTCTAAAGCGCGGCGTTTCTAATTCATATCGTGAGATTGTGCACGACTAATTAGATAGTGCCAATAATACGAACAGGCTTTCGTTGGTATAGGGAAGCAATTAATGATAATTACTACCTGAAAAATATAAGGAGAATTTCGACGTTTCTAGCGAAGGAAACGTCGAAATTCTCCTTATATTCTTCAGGTAGTTGCATCCGGCTACCAACGAAAGTTTGTCTAGCAAATCCACACGAAGGGCCTTCACTCGAAACGTCGAAATTCTCCCTATATTTTCTGGTCGTTCCATTCCTACCGGCAAAGATCTAGAAAGTTTGTTACTTCAGTAGAAGCTCATATAACAGGCGAGCAAATTTTACTTTACTCTTTAGTCCCATTTATAGTCCCCTAAGTCCCGTGTGTATATGGCTGACAAGTTCTTTGATAAATTTCCCTTTACAAGTTTTATCTCAACGTCAAGGCCGCAGTTTGGTTGCCAAAACCATATATAGCCACGTATTTCTGATACACTAGTCAAGTTTTCCTTGGCAGCCTAGACTTGCCCAAAGGACGTTGGGAAAGTCTATTGGCAGCCATACACACGAACAAATTAATTTCCTTGTCCAAAACCCAAAAGCGCTACTGGCACGCGTACGACTAGCTTTGGAATAAATCAAGACTCCTTGGCAAGGCAAAATTGTCAAGGCCAAGGGGAACTTTTGCTCGTCTGTTACTGGACACAAAGCCGTATTTTTATTGAAGTAGATGATACGTATAGGTAAACTAGCTGCACGCAGCTTAATTAAATTAAACGTGCATAAAAACAGTGGGGAATTTGACCATACCAGTACATGCAGTGACGCATGTCTCAAACTATTAGAGGGGTTAGGGACCGGTCATTATTTATGGAAGGGGGTGGCACCGAAGAGAAAAGGGTTGGGTAAACAAAATTTTGAGTGAGTAAAAGGTTGGGTAAATGAAAAACAAAACAACTCAAGGGTTGGGTAATAATAATTTCCAAAGCATGACTCACTGAAATATTGGAGACTTAAAAGCAATGTATACAGTACAGTACA